GTTGTCAGCCTACTGGACAACACCACCAACATATCTCCCCCTTTTAATTTCACCTCCATAGTGAAAAGATCAGGATCACCTAAAAAAACACACAAGCATTGACAACAATCAACTATTTGTAGCAAATTACATTTGCTACAACTACCTACCAATTGACCCCATTTGATTTTGAACTTATGCACATATTTACTCAAGGCAAAGAAAGGTACAAGCAAGTACATACCACACACCGACAACTTGGGACAACACTTGCATTTGAAAACAAAATGAGAATCTCAGTCAAATCCAAAACACAATTGCAAAAAAAAAAAAAAAAAAGGGAAAAGTGACCACTTATTGTACTTGGGAGGATTTCCCATGTTTGGTAGGCCTCACTATGCCTCACTGGACTGGATTGGGCTAAATAACACTTAAAACCCATGTTTGGTAAGGAAGGGGATTAACTTAAATGAGATTCCATAGTCCAACAGTGAAAAAATAACCGGACTCGCATGTCTTACACAGCGAGCCCCAAATGCACTTCGCAAAATAGCACCATCGCTATTTCGAACACTCAAGTCCGACTGGATTTCCTTACGCCTTGAATCAAAACCCCACCACCAGAGACCCAATCGACAGACTCTGGCAAAACCCAATACCCAGTGCTCCCCCCTTCTCCCCCGAATTTGTTCTCCCTCATGACCACCACCCGCAAGCCACACACAGACCCATCTCTCTTCCCCACCCCAGCCACCCGCAGAACCCAGAACCATCTCTCTTCGTCATCTTTGTCTGTACACAAGAGAAAAACACAAATCAAAAAGGGTTTAGGGAATTGGTAAAAGAGAAGAACCAGAAAATAAAGAAACCAGAAACAGAGAATAATGAAACCCAAAAAAAAAGAAGAGAAAAGCAGTTCCAATTCGTAGAAGTTCCAAATAGAGAAAAGCTGAAAAATAATGAAATCAGACAAGTTAATGAAATGATGAATTGACAAAAAAATAAATATTATAATTTTATTTATTTATTTATTTATTTATTTATAGGTTAAAATTTTTAATTAAATTTAAATATTAAATATTTATTTTTTAGTCCGACAGAGCACCAAACATAGTTCTTCACTATTTTTACAATCCAGCTTCTTAGTTCGACGTAGCACCAAACGTAGGTCAGTACTTAATCCAGCTTAGGCCAATCCGAGCTAATCCAAGATAGTCTCAGGATTTAGTCCTGTCCATAACAGTCCGCCGTACCAAAAGAGCCCCAAGAGGACTCTTAAATCCTCCATTAGCTTCGTCGAATCTATTAAATTTCATAGATAGGGACTAGCGGCCCATTACTAACAACACCAATATTGCCCCCAATTTAACCACCTACAAAGCCTAGTAAATTTGGAATTTTATCATGAAAGGCATCGGTGATATTAGTAGTGGAACCATTCATGATATGTTGTATTTTATTTGGCCAAGTTTTAGATGTGGGACTTATAGTCTTCAACACGCCCCTTCACATGGGACCACCACATAGTACACAACACGTACGGCCAAGTCCACATCAAAGTCAAACATTCAAGCCTAACATGTGAACACCATGTATTAGGTAAGGGTAAACGTTCAAGCACAACATGACCCCACATGTGAGTAAAGGATAAAGGCTCAACACAGACTACCAAGCCACTACTAGCAATACTAATATTGTCTCTAACTTAACCACCTACAAAGCCCACCTACAATCTAGATTTGCTAATTCCGCAATTCCCCAAAAGTTAAAGCCCTAGGAAACTTTGAAAGTCATGTGAAAACAGCCTTTTAGTTTGAGCTCAAAGACTTGAACTTTATATGACCCACAGAATGGACGGTTTTGCCCTCACAAAGGTCATCACATGCCTCTCATGTGACTAATTTGACGGAAAGATGGATGAAATGTCTACAAAAATGACGGTGGGGGGAAATTTTGTGTTAAAATTTAATTCAAGTACTTAATTTTCTTAAGAAAAAGGTAAGGGGTAAATCAAAAATAAAGAACAAGTTCATGGGGCATTTCGGCATATTACTCTTAAGTTAATAGATAATATATTTATAAAATAAGAAAATATTAATAACTATTTCATATAATTAGAATATTTTAAAAAAAATTAATGACTCATTTATTGTTAATATTAATTATCAATTCAATTAATATTTTTATAAAAGTAAACTAGCATTAATTAGGAAAACTTTTGATTCCTTCAAATTAGGAGGATCTCCTACTTAAAACCATTATGGTTTTTGACACTTGACAAATTCCTTAATATTCACTTTTCTTTTATGTTGGAACTTGATAGTTTTTGCTTGAATTTGAAAAGTGTCAAAATCACATTGATTTTAGGAGGAGCTCGTCTTCAATTTTAAGAAGTGTAGGGGCCTTTTGTTCTAGCAGCTCCAGATGGACATGGGGTGCTGCAAAGAACAAGTGAGCAATGTTGCCTTTGTGCTTGAGTTCAAGTATCAGACCCCAAACAACTCAAAAAGTTTGTGGATCCCTAGGGAGTACTCTGGTCTCTTTCACCAAGAAGATTGATGATTATTATGATTCAAAATTTTGGCTTGACCAACCTCGTGGCATGGGAGTTGAGCCTCCACAAAGTTAGCAAGAGAAAGAGAGAGCTTGGCCAGGTCTTTTCCTTTCTTTTCTTCTCATTTTCCCCAACTCAGCCCTTTTGAGTGAAACTTGTTGATTCCAAGCGCATCGGGACAAAGATTTTTAGCGCCCCAAAGCTTTCCTGCAACTAAGCCTTCCAGTAACCTTCATTCTTCGCAACGCCTCCTTTACGCTTTCTCTCCTTATTTTCCTATGAGAACTTATAGAGGCAATTTTGGGTGAAGGCGCTGGTCAAATTGAAAAGGATGTTGGCTTTTCTTCCAGCAACTTGTGCACCTAGGGAAACGAGACTTTTAAAGGCTCTGGTTTGGTTAAAAGGGTGTTGAAACCTCTCTCTTCTTGCTTACTCATGTAGTTGGGCTTAAGAAAGTAGGCTTTGATTTTGGTGCTCCCAATCAGCTCAAAATCTCCACCTTTTGAACCCTGAATGGACCTTATAGACCCTCGTACCCATCCACACCACAACCCACTCAGCAAGCTCCATGCATTTACGCGGCTTGAACCCCCTTAAGCTTGTTGGGTGATTTGACACTAAATAGGATGGTTGTTAAGCATGCATATTATTCACATACTTGTGCTCAAACTTCGCTGTTTTGCAATGGTTCAAGGTCGTGCAAGGTAAACACTTGACGAGGCAATAAGCTTCTTATAGAACCGGTGCATTTTTGCGAGCTTGCTGTGACCTCCCACATGACGAAAAAAATTGCTTGCCTAATTGTAAAATGTGAACGGAATTATGTGCTTCTAAACGTAATCTGATATTGAAGTTGTTTTCTACCCATTTCGGCCTTCATGCATAACTCAAGGCTTTATGTTTGACTTGCTAACGTGATATTACAAAATGGTAGGGAGTATCTAGTAATTGTCTATTAGTTTTACATTTATATGTCCTGACATGAATATTATACACACTATAACATGGTTTTGATCATGAGTTTCTTTAAAAGAATTTAAAACTCAGTTTCCTCGGCCATTAAAACAGAAAAAATATAAATGTATATATCAAACATAACATAAACAAAACATCTTACAATACCATTAAAATTTACATTCAACGCACTGCCCATCATAAATAAAAAGACACATCCAAACAAATTATAATTAAGAGATCCTAAGTTCGAATTCGCATTTTTTGTTAATTAAGAAGAAGAAAAAACTTCCTAAAGTTAAAAGAGAAAACCAAACAAGGTATCTTCAATGAGAAATGGTTTAGTTTTCACCAACATGGTACAAACCTCATATATATATATATATATATATATATATATATATCTATATCTAAATTTCAAGTTGAGCAGAAAGTTTGAGGTAGATTTAGTAGTTTGTTTCAGTAAATAGTTGTCATCATGATGATACTTTGAGCACTACAATGAAGAAAAAAATTGCTTTGATGTAGATTATTCAGTAGTTCTCCAAGGGGGGGACCTAAAATCATAGTATATGGTATAATTTCGGTCGGATTTGGCTTCTCCAAGTGGGAGGGATTTGTAAGAAAGAATTTGGATTTGACAACAAGCCTAAATTTGTTACAACAATAAGTTCCATATCAGGTTGAATGTATTTGAAATAATAAGATGTAGTACATTTGAAATGACTACATGTAAGGAATTATTTGAAATTCATTGTTTTTTTTTCTTTCTTCCTTGTTCAAATCTTGACATACATAGAGTGTAATAGTCTATACATACAATTTTACCTTATAATTCAAAGATTTGGAATCCTTACATTCAAATGAAGCCTTAAAGTTTTAACCTCTTTTGTTCCATGAAATTTAGTAGTTGGGTGTAATTCTTTGTTAATTATATATCTCTCGATGGAGGAATGACGATATGAACTTGGGAACGCCTTCTATTATTCTGAAGAAAAATATCACTAAACCAAAAGCTAGTCGGTTAATTATTCTTGTAATTGATGCCCACCCAGATTGAATTAAGGTTTTGCTGAGATAGAGATTGCGGTACGAGACAGATTGGAGTACATGCATAGAAGGCCATCTCACATAATTTAGGCTCTGAATGCTTATTAGCATATGATGCCCGTTTGTCGCCAAAACCTTACACAAATTTCTCTTATGCTGTGATGAAGAATTTATGAACTCTTTTTAGTCCAATTGATACGAAAATCAACCCATTCCTTTTGGAAACATCAAAGTTCACATATGTACTTTTTACCTGTCCTTTAAATACTTGGAGGCAAAAATTCAACAAGAACATTAAATGTATTGAATTGGAAAAAAAATTTAATAAATTTCTTTCTACTTTCCCACCCAGAAATAGTGACTGTACAAAAAAACTAAAAAAAATCTAAAAAAAATCTTAAAAAAATCCCCCTTCCCCACCGCCCCGGGTGTGTTTGGACCATATATTGTGGCACTAGTTTCCTCAAGCTCAATTATTCTTCAAACAGTATCTGAAGCCAAAGCATGAAAAACATAAATTTCCACTCCTAATTTCTGACTTTAGATCAGACCCCAAAAAAAAATATCTGACTAGAAAATCCTCCAATCTCATTGTGACGTCAATACCCATGACTAGCAAACTGAGAAGACCACTTTCTGGTTTGCGTCTTTGCATATCATCTCTACTGCACACATTCTTCCTCTTTTCTACACACATACACACATCGAAAAGAAGGCATCACCTCATTTGGGAATTCAGACTACAATTGCCCCACTAAAGCTTGTGACCATCTGTCGAATTTCCAAGCAAACTACAGCCTTGTTTTTTTCCCCTTCCTGCGAATACAATCACGATGTCACTCAAGCTGTTGACGGTCAGGCAGTCACTACCATTCAGATGCGGGGCTGAAACAATTGCAAACATTGGTGGATCCTTGAACTGGAACTACATATGCAGCAACTAAATAAAAACTTCTTCCGACCACATTTCATGAATATCTACTTGACCATGTTGCTTCTGACCCTCTAGCAGATGAGTTGCCGTAGCTCCATTGTCGCCTACTGTTACTTCTTTCAAATGGGTAATTTTGAACATCTGCAGGCATTCTAGATGTGCTGCTTCCACCGCGTTTCTTTTGTGCATTCCTCATCTCCTCTTCAGCATCATACCTTGAACGCTGCAAAATTAGTAAAATAAACACCAAAATTTCTTTAAATATTGTCAAAGAGCATGGTATACCAATGTCTAACAGGAAAAATTCTCTGATAACTCAATTAAAAAGATGGTTGCAATACATAAAAGTTTGTCCTTTTCTACCAAAAGGGTGCTGCACAGAAACTTGTTTATTTGAGACAAAAATAAAGCATCATAGCTAAAGTGTCTTGCGACCTTGGTAGGGTCTGAAAGTACTGCATATGCCTCCCCGATCATTTTGAAAAGCCTTTCAGCATCCTTGTGCACTTCTTCTGCTATCTCCCTCCAAACCCCATCATCACCATTATCGCTCCTTGCAAAGAATTGACCAGCCTATAAAAGAATATGTTAAAGGGTGAATAGCAGTAAGCAAGCAATAAATCACAAAATATTACATACCTTGTCAGGATGATGTCTAAGTGCAGCTTTCCGATAGGCCTTCTTAATTTCTGCTGCTGAAACAGATGGTTCGACTCCCCTGCCATTATAACCAAAATAGCTTAAAATGATTGATACAATTAATTTTACTCGGAATTAACTGTCTGGACTGTGGATTAAAAATCTTTACATTTTTAAGAGAATCATAAAATGCATGTGATGGTATATTTCCTAGATTGCATGGGTTCTTCACTATCTACCAAAAATCCAGGGCATGGAGCATAGCAAAGAGCTTGTTTCAAATAATTAATTAATTATCTTATTCCACAGAATTATTAGATAAAGGTACATGTCATATTAATTAACAAACATAACTATATGAATGTATAACTACTCAGGCTCCACAAAGTATTTTATTGTATGGTCTGGCATCAATCATATATGTTTGATTTGTTCACGCATCCTAAGTAGGGGCCAGTTCACAATCATGATGGAAATAAATCTAGACAGATAAACTTACAGAATCAGGTACATATCCAAGGGGATGTCCTTTCTGTCTTCTTCTTCTATTTCAGAAAGACGAAGGCGAGCTTGTCTCAAATCGTTTGTGCAGCTAATGGATCTGTCAGATATTCCACAATGATTGGTTTTTCCCTCTACCTGCTTAGTGAGAAGAGATACAAGTCTCTGAAGATCTCTAGCTGCTTGTCCATAATCTCTGATCATCGCATATAATGTAGCTCGCCTAGAAATAGCCTGTGAAAGTGTAAATGCAAAACCGTAAAAAGCAAGGTTATAAAACTGCAGATTAGAATATCACTGTATTAGTTTAATCATACAAATGAATATGAAATGCTTCTTAAAAAGAGCATAGCAATCATCTCAGAAAAATATTTGAGAAAAAGGAAAGAGATCTAGTCAACCAAAAACAAATGGAAATAAAAATAATTAGTAATTACAAAATGGACTGACTTGACAATACAAAAGGACCCAATCCAAGAAAATAATCATTCCGAAATGCAATAAACCACAAGAAAAGTACTTTTAATAAGTATTGTGAAAGTGCCAACTACTCGAGGACTGACAACTTCATTACATTAGTGCAATCTTCTTGCATTAACACCGAAAACAACCTCATTTCGGACTTCAAATTTTAATCCCTCATAGACAAGCAACCAACGCCAAACTAGGCTCAAAGACCAAGGTTTCAGGAGGAAATATCTACAAACCATATTCTAAACTACCAACAATAGTTCTACAACATTCTGAATGCTCAGGTCACTTTAGCCCAGCCAGTTGCCATCACATTTGTGGCAGACAGAAGCAGTTTAATCCATATACGTAAGCAAAACGTAACAATGTATAACCTAAGAAAATACATGAGGACACCATGAGCAACGCACACCAGGAATCTAAAGTAAATAAAAAATGCAACACTGCAGAAGCTGCACTTTGAGATTGATATTAACCACAGAACCAATAAGAGGGAAGAACTCATTTGGAACTTAAAATTAGAAATTTAAGTTTACAACTGGAGTCAAAAGTGATGCCAAAACTGAACTTATTTAAAATTTTCTTCTTTCATTCTTTATCCAGAAAATTTCTTTTAAGCAGAGTCTAATACTCAAATTTAACATATCTAAAGTTCTCAAAGTTCAACTAAAAAGGACCAGTCTTGAGTCTTATCACAGTTTGCACAGAAATTGGAAAAGTTCAGAAGACAGAAATCTGAATTTAAACATGTGATTTTTTAAAATTAACTGTGGAATTTAGATGTTTGTGCATCACAATTGACATAGAAAGCAATCAAATATTCTAAGATTTCCTTGAAAATTAGATAGATAGACATAAAAGATCCATTTGCTACATTTCCACAGAAAGAAACCACACAAACAAGCAAAAATATTATACCACATCAAATTCCTAATGCCCCCCACAAACAAGTAGGAAACCTGTGTGACTATGTAGAACAAAAGAAATATAAATTGATTAGAATACTAGTATGCTTAATGACCTGAAGAAGACTACTAATTTATTTGTACAAACCATGTGTCAGTTACCAAAGAGTGTTATCAACCAAACAAGAAACAAAACCAGCCCCTCCTTTTACCTAAGGAAAATGTAATAAATAAATAAAATCATCAGCAATGTCATATCAAACAGCCGTTAAGAAAACTTCAGTTTTGAGCAAACCTTTAGATAATTTCCATCAAGAGCTATAGCTAGACTGCAATCAGCAATAGCATCAGTCATTTGGCCCAACGCTTTGTACGCAGCAGCACGATTGCAGAAACAAACAGCTGTGAATGGACGTGATTCCACATTACATGACAAAGCAGCAGTATAATGCTCAACTGCTTCAGTATGCCTTCCAGCCTGAAATGCTTCATTCCCTGCAGCCTGTGATGAAGAGTAACAAAGATATCAATACATAAGCAGCATGCATATATAGTATAAAAACGTACTTCATTAAAAAAGAAATAAACAGTATAGAGGACATGCTGTCCCCTATATATGGAATAGATGCATACTTTTTTTTTTTTTTTTTTTGAATAGAAACGAATGTATTAAGAAAGGAGCAAAATACAGCAGTGGATAAGGAACTTTTTTTTTTTTTTTTTTTTTTTTGAATAGAAACGAATGTATTAAGAAAGGAGCAAAATACAGCAGTGGATAAGGAAACCACAGAAGACAGAGAAACAGACTAAAAAACAAATGCATACTTAGCAGATGCAATGGAAAAGGTGCACACAAAGATGGGAAGAAACGCATCGTTCAAGCCCCAGCTTTCTTCCCAACTAGAGAAAGCTGGAACTCTATAAAGACATAGAAAAGGTGCACACAAAGATGACTCCCCTATCCACCCTCAAACCCCATTCCCCACCACTTCACGAAGATACAGATAGGGAATATTAATATGCTGTAATTTCTTTCCGAGGGCATCTACTCATACGTTTGACCACACTTCCCGTATTTACTTAGTTGTGATGGAAGCATCCTAGTGGCAATTCCAAAAGGAACCTCCACAACAACTTCTCAAGGAGGCGTTTTCTTTTATCCAAGTTGCCTGTTCCTACACCACTCTTTTCTAGTAAACAAGAAGCAACTACCAACCTCACCAAATAATCCCTTTTCCCGTCCCCGACTGCCTCCCGCAGGAAATCTCTCACTAATTTCTCCAATCTATCCCACACTCTTCGGGATTCTAAAGACAAATAGGTAATACATTTGAATGTTTCTAAAAACCATAAATAAATAAAAATTGCACCTAATCTCCTCTCCAGTTTTGATCTTTTGAATATCAAACGTCTTCTACGTAACCATGCTCGTACCTCTATCATGACTCATGACAATAGAAACACATTGGCTTTGTACATTTCATGCTATGCATATAGAAATACACAATTGAGAGCACTATATAGAAATATGGCACAGATTGACATACCTTATGAGATAAAAGTTCACGTACAGTGAGAACAAGGGGTACAGATGATTCCAAAGTTTTTCTCCAATTCCTGGATATTCTAATTAGCGTTAGGAGCTGCAAGCACCAAAAGCAGTAATCTTTAACATAATTAAACATGTACAAATCTGGTCTGTAAGTTACCTGTATGTGGACACCTTTTCGTCTTGTTTCTCTAGTGAAGCAAGACCATCCTCAAGTTTCCCTAGATGAAAATATGATTTAAAAATCACACGGCACCGCCAGAGTTGGAAGTAAAAGTATTTGGACAGTTCAGAACCATCTGAAGAAAGGGCCTGGTAATTAGTATCTATTGAAGGGTCGTTCTTTTCAGCAGAACCAAGGGTCTGCTCGCACAGCTCAATCACCTCTTCATACCTCCGCATCTGCTAGGGAATACAGAAGTCAACCCACAACTGAGTGAAAACCATTCTGAGTTTCTGGGAATGCTTAAGTATACGGTATAACTGACTTTTAAACCACTGAATAAAGATTCACATTATCACAAAAACAATATTAGAAAGAAAAGAAAAACACTAACCATGAAAAGGGCCTCCGCTTTCATTTCAAGTAATTTTTCTGAGCTAGGGCTCATTACCAAGCCTTCAGCAATAAGTTCCAAAGCTCTCTCTGCATTGGTAGATATCTTCCATTGTAAAAGTTCAGCCGAAAGATTCAGGCATTCAGACACTTTCTGCCAGCAAATAAAAAAATCTAATCAGTTTTTCTACAAACACTTCTGCGTAATGTTTCAGATATTGATATATGTATGTATATATATATAGAGTCCTTTTCTATTGAGGGATCCCTGAAATAATCTTATTTGAGGGACACCTTGTGGGGCCCAAAACTGCCCCAAAATAAATACATTCTAATCCCAAAAGAAACTCCAAACCCAAATTTTAATCTCTCGAAAACCCCATAAGGGCTAATAATACAAGTCTTTATCCAATAAACAGCCTTTACAATTCCCTTAGTGAGACCTCCCTGACCACACTCACTCAACACCGAGTCTTTATCAACCATGAGCAATAATAATTTTGTGCATATTTAAAATCTACAATGCCTTCAGACTAAATGAACTTTAGATGAAAAGAAAGGATTTAATTAAGACCCCACCTTCAATCCTTTTTTTTATCTCCTGTCCTTTGCCCCTTATGAGCCAAAAGAGGGATTTGATAATCAGAAATTCAATATTTCTTCTTGCCTCAATCACCCTACAGAATCATGTGATGGGCAACTTAAACTACTGCTCAGAAGACGCGAAGTGTTACACCGTTTCCAGAGTTTGACCAATTTCATGTGCACAATTTACAATTTGGAATTTATTAGTTTATTATTAAGTGATGTTAGAAAAGGACCATTGTTTCCCCACGAAAAAAATACCCTATGAGACGATCTGGCTTGTATATGATATAAAATCAAATAAATTACAGTACCTGTGCTTTTTGTAAGCCGTCAGAGGCTTCTACTGCAATCTTTCGGTCCACGCAGACATCATTTGCCAACTGCAGGCACCTCCTAAAATGTTCTGAAGCATCTTCAACTTCCCCAAGGGCAAGATAACAGCTTTAAGAATTTTAACAAGAAATAAAATTAGGGAATGCATGTTATTTGACATTAAAAGCAATTAAGACTGAGGATACTCCCTATGCCACAGCTCGGAAATCAAAGAACCAATGCGCATTCAATAGGAAATTAAAAAAATGCATAATTACAAAACTAGCAGAATAACAGATGTGCACGGAAATTTTGAGGAGTGGAATTTTGAGGACCAGAAAAATATCTTACTTGGATCCAGACAATCCAAGAACAACTGCACAATATTGCACATGTACTGATAACTAACAAAAATCTAACAATCAATTACGCTCAAAATTCACCAAGAAAATTATAGCAAATTGTTTACATATTTTTTTATACGAACAACAAGCTTTATTATTGAAAATGAATAAAAATACAAGTACGTTATCAAAATAAGATGATACAAGTTCATAACATGTTTTATAGGTTTAAGTTCAGATACCTCTTTTTTAATGAAATGAAAGAAACTTTTATTAATAAACTTGTGCAATTAAAGGTTACCAAAATAAGATGAGACAAGTTAACATGTTTTTATAGGTTTAATTGCACAAACACCCGTTTTCTAATGAAACGAAATATACTTTTATTAATACCCCTGGCCCTTTAAGAGCAACATGCAGCCTGCAGACCAAAAATAAAAGACAAACAGGCCAGCTAATCAAGCTCACACCATTTTTAAAGGCCTATCCCTTGACATTACTTAGTTCATCTAAAAGGATTTGCTTTTGGGAATTTATGCATTTAGGTGTCCTGACTTTAATTCTCTTTTGCTTTTTTTTTTTTTAAAGAAGAAGCAAACTTCATTGAATGCTGACAAAACATACAACGTTGTGGACAAGAAGTCCAGTTAGAAAACATACAGGATACAAAAAATGAGAACAGACGCCTATCAAATCACCTATAGAACAATTTGGACCCCACATAGATGTGATGGCTACCTTTGATACTGAGACTGAAAATCATGATGAGTAAAGTGAAGAAAAAAAAAAGTCCTTGGGGTTAGCCCAAGTGGTGAGGGAGGGAGGGGTAATTGGTTAAAATTAGAATAGGTTCAAGGTTCCATCCCCTCCAAACAAACAAAAAAGTGAAAAAGTGATTTCCATCCCACTAATTGATTACATATAGAAGGGAAATTTTATCATGTCAACAGTCTGGCATGTTATGTTGCAGAGTATCAATCCTAATCCATGATTGCACGGAATCTTGTTTAAATGTGTGGTCCACATTGACAAATCTGACGTAAGAAAACATTTCCCACATAAACCAAAAACTACTTTAGTTCTATAAGGTTATGTAGTCCTTTTCAAAAATTTAAGTCCACCAATTGACTTTCGTTGTGATGTGGCTTAAATTTTAAGGTTACTACTTAGCGTTTTTGGTCCCATTAGCACATTAAGGTTAGCACTTTCACTTCAATGGTTTTTTTGTTTCTTATCCTATAAGGATTCCTATTCCTTACAGGGTTTGGCCTATCATGAGTAGTATATAATAGGCACACGAGGTTCTTATTTGTTGTTGAAGAATGTTAGAGAGAAAACTATGAAGAGTTTTGATAATCTTCTCATCTTTGGTTTAGGGTTTGTCCTTTGCTCTTTTGTGAGAGAGTGCTTTGGGTGTTTTGGGATTTTGGATTTGTGAGAATTAAATAAATTTGCATTAGCATAGAACTTCATACTGGAAAGTCAAAAGAAAATATCAAATAGTAAGAAGCAAATACTTACTTGGCAGCTCTAACCTGCGCCTTGAGGAAGTTGGGATCAATTCCCGCAGCCATCATACAGTCCCCAAGTGCATCTCTCAATCTTCCAAGAGTCATACGTGTTGCTGCACGGTTGCTATAGCACAGCATCAATGCCCTAAGGCAGCTTCTAGATGTCTCATTTCTAGAAATGCAATTCACCCCTTTCGTATAGCAGTCCTCGGCTTTAGACAGATCCCCATTAGAGTATGCTTGGTTTCCCCTGATATATTCACATTCAACAAAAGAAAGCTGATCTTTAGCCAGGGTTATATTACTCCACATAGAGGTCCAAGTATAACTCAAAGGAATCATACAGCGAGTTTTAAGCACGGACAAAAATGATTCATTTGATTATAAGTTCTAACCTGAGTCTCCACTTTTCACATGCTTCCTGAGCTGCAGCCGTTTCAGCGGATGGAGAACCTGATTCTTGCTTTATCTCCTTTTCCTTACAGACCCCAGAATTATCTCCATATTTATGTTGTGGGATAGACGAGTCTATTTTCTGAGAACGTCCAGGTGACATAAGTGCTGAAGCACCAGGATATGGAAAAAAATTTGCAGAGGATGATGCATATGGAACCTTAACATTTGGAACCATAACATTGGTATCTTGACCTTCCTTTACCAAATTTTTCTTTTTGTGGAGGCGTTTTGATGCAGATAATTTACTTTGAGCAGCAGAAGAGGCAGCAAAGGTGAAGTTAGACCGAGTTCTATCTTCCGAAGTTGAAGGAAAGCCAAAGTGTATCCTGGTATCAATATCATGTCTTTCCATGTTTGAGCTCGAACTGGCTTCAGTTTCTGCTGCGGTAAGGGAGTTATCGCTACTAAAGTCAACCTCCTCAGCAGCAGACTTAAAGCTTTCAGTTTCAACCTCAGAAACGGATCCTTCAAGTGTGCCTTCAACATCAACACTTCCATTCAAACCGTACTCAAAAGTGTCCGCTCTAGTTTCTCTGCTTGTTGCATCAACTTCATTTATATCCAGACGTCCTGTTGCCATAGCCAGATCTTCATCAATAGGATCATTTGAAACTGTTGGTACTGAATCAGCTGCCGAATAGTTGTTGAGTATACTAAATGACTCACCAGATGCCACAGAATTTTCTTTTGCACACTGGTTATCAGCTAATGTTTCTTGATACGGGGAAACGTCCATTGGTGAATAGGATGCAGAGGCCTCAACATTTTCCTGAGAACTGCCTTCCCTTGAAACAAAATCATGCCCAGGGCCCAGATGGGCTGAGCTAGAACGTCTTGGTTTTCCGGTTGTTTTTTTCTTTCTAGTGTCCCTAAATGATTCCCCCCTTGCGCCGAATTCTAGTTTCTTATTTGTGCCAGAGAACAGGTTTGCTTTGGGATTTGGTGTTTTAAATTCTACAGAGTGTCCCCCTAAACCATCTTGCTTGCTTGTAAAGTAAAACTCATCCCTCTTCTCAGGTCTGTCAACAGCAGGCATTTCAGAAGTTCCTCCAACTGGTTCAAAATGAATGCCCCTAGACGGAGTGGTTCCGCATGATTTGGCCTCATCTTTTGGTTGGTCTGACGAAAAATCACAACCACCTGCATTCCTGCCCTGCATTGCCACCTGAAAAGGGAACTCTCTTGGTATTGGTTTATCAAGATTGTGAAATAACTTGTCACCACAATTTCCAGTTTCCACATGTTTTATAGATGTTTGATGCAACGGAGTCCCTGCATGTGATTGAGTAGAGTCTCCAGCCCTACTTCCTAGACTCCGCTTCTCCATCTTTCTCGACAGAAGAGTTCCTTTTCTTCCATCAAAAGTATCACCAACAGTTTTACCGCTTGTAAAGGCCGGATTGCCTCTGTCACTCATATCTGCATAGTCCTTTATGTTCAAATTCTTCATCAAATCTGGAAGTATATTTTCCGAGCTTCCAGAAAATGAATAGCTATCCTTTTTACTATTTCCAAAGGCAAACTTATTCACACAATCGGCATTAGGTGTGTCAGTACTGCGATCCAGCTGCACAGTCTCTTTAATGTTCAACTTCTTCAACTCATTTGGGAGTTCCGATTCCAGGTTTTGGCCCAAAGAACCACCCACATTGTCATTATTCCCCAGCCCAAACTTGGTCTTGTCAGTTGCAGTTACATTAAACTTTACATCCTTACCTTTCTCAACAGATTCAGCGTTATCGGGACCTTCAATGTTCAACTTCATCATATCCTCGGGAAGCTTTGACCCAATGCTTTCATCCATACTAGAATTCTTCCTATAATCATTACCAAAGATGAAACCACCTTTATCCAACCCCGCAACTGAACTCGAACTCACCCTACTTCTTGCATTAAAACTGAAAGGACCCTCTTTGGTATTCTGAAACTCATTGCCACTCCTGATTTTCAAATTCCTCATTTCATCAATCACTCCTTTCCCCAAACTCGCATTAGAATCCCATTTCCCCGAATTCGCATTCGAATCGCTCCTATTGTCCCCGAACATTTTTCCCTCATTCCCACTCTTAGGGGTCCCAAATTCCCCAGAGACTGAAGTCCCCGTTTCTAACCCGGATGGGACTGGATTTGAACTCTCCAAATTGGTTCGAAACGGATTGAATCCAGGACGAAACCCGGTTTCTGGGGACGCTGGGGGTTTAAAATTCTGAGCATTCAAGCCTCTTCTCACCTTCACAAACCTCGGTCTCGCAAGACCGGACCCCTGCCGCGAAAGGGACGAGGTATTGAAGCCAAAATTGGAGTTTATGTCGTTAGAATTCGAAAAACCAGAAGTTACATCACCAGCATTTGATGGGTTCATGGTGTGGGACAAGCTTTGATATTGCTCGGATTGATTTTGCAACGAGAACCCAGAAAAGTCGAACGAGAAAGGGTGAGAAATCTGACCGCTATTGAGGTTTTGGTGTTGTTGGGTGTGCGCCGGAGCTCTGGTCTCTAGCAACGGCGACGACATGTCAACGTGGGAGTCATCAAATCCGACGGTTGCGGATTGAAGATCGTGGTGTTGATCAAACCCTGGTTCTGATCAGCAAAAATGCAAAATGTTATGTATACAAAAATTTGGAGATATTGGAAATTGATTTGGGTATATATGTTTAAAGATTAGAAGGTCAAGGTTTTGCGTTTATGCGTGGATGCGAGGTATAGTTGTATGCCTTCGGTTATAAGGAACAGAGAGCAAATGGAGGTTATTTTCATTTCACGGATTGCAGCACGGGTTCTTGCGTCTATGATCCTCTCATGGCTTTTTCAAAACAAAAAAAAAGTTCACCCTCGTTTTCATTACTCTACTTTGTTTTCCTTTCATTTTCTTTTTTGGACTCTTTTCTCTTTTCTTTTTCTATTTTTGAGTAAATCTTTATTTTTCTTTTCATCCATTTCCATGAGGAAAATAAAAATAGAATTTGGAGAAAAGTTCAATTTTTATTTTTAAAATTGACATGCATCAGTTTAGGGCTAGAATTTTAAATCTAAAAACAGCCAAATCGACCGAACCGATTCAAATTGAACCAATTGTTTAATTTTTCGATACTGCCCTTCATCAGTTTGGTTTTCAATTTGATTTTTCTAAACCATCAGTATGAGCGAACCGAACCAACAATTATTAAAAAGGCGGTATATTGATAAGGTTTGTGTCAAGGGGATTCGTACCTTGACCACCAACTTGAAATTCAGAAACTCCAAACATTACTTCATAAAATGAAATATATTTAAGGGCTTTTCAATGCCCATTGAAATTAAAAATAAATTAAATTAAATTATATCTAGGATTTCTTTCCAAGTTAACCCCAATGTCTTATCTCTCGCCATCTCCCTTCTCTTGTCTTCTTCTTCTTCCCCTATCTTCTTCTACCTCTCTCTCTCTCTCTCTCTCTCTCTCTCTCAATGCATCTGGAGATCGCGTGGTCAAATGATATCGAATTCAAGTGATTTTTTATATAAATGATCTTTGAATGAATATGTACAAAATAGACAGTTTGGATTAGTAAATTACAACACGAAGCGGGTTCTACAAAAGTGTCTCTCAAATAAGCTTATTTGAGGGATCAAATCAGTCATTGTCTCTTCTCTAATCATTTTAATTTCTAGGGTCCTACTACAATGGAGCCATCGCCAACAGCCTATGTCAATCTCTCTCTCGTCTCCTTCATCTTCTATCTTTATGTCGCTCTCTCTCTCATCTCACTCTAGACGACGGTAGCTTCTCCACGTCCAAACAACGCATGCCACTACTATCTCTCACAACTCTGGTCCAGGGCTGGTCCATTGATATTGGAGGCCCTATACAAAAAGAGATGTTGAGACCCTAGACATACAAGTTAAAAAAAAACAACTCACAATCAATAAGTAGAACCAAAAACATCCTTAATTGCATCAATTACACCATAATCCATAAATAGAACCAATTCCATCCTTAATTGCATCAACTACATTTATTTTCCCATATTGATAGCCCACTCAATTGTCTTTTACATTTAATTTTTTTTTTAAGTGAAGACAGTTCAAAAACTAACCAAAAAAACAGCAAAATGAAGCTACAAACACAAGTGTTGAGTCAAAATCATAAATAGGCTTGATCTGGAAAGAAGAAGTCCAATGCTAATTCTAGGGGTGTATCCAATTCATACTTATAAAGACTTTTTTTAAGTGATTGACTTTCATAGAGTTGACAAATTCTTAAATACTTTCATAGAGTTGATAAAAGTCACTAGTAAATTGGCAAGACTTTTGCTCTTAACAATTAGTCTTAAAAGTATGGAAAAGTCATTCATTTAATAAGCTTTTTAAAAGTCATTAACTTTTTGGATACCACCAAACTTTTAAATACTCTTTAAAAGTAGTAACTGGATACCATCAAACTTTTAAATACTTTTTAAAAGTCACAATTGAATACCACTAGACTTTTATATACTCTTTAAAAGTCTAAATTGAATACCTCCAGACTTTTAAACTCTATAAAAGTCATTAAAAGTTTGAATTGGATACACCCCCTAAATCTGTTGTTGCTAATAAGAATATCCCTTCTCCAGCTATGGTTTCTCGCACTTCTTCTCCTGCTGTTGCAAAACAAATTAATATGTTTAGCAACAAAATTGACAATATGACAGTTAATCTATAATAAAAAAAACTAAATAATATTTTAGCAATAAAATTGGTAATAATAATAATGTTTATGTCTTCGTTGAAAAAATAATAATGCAAAGTACATCAACATGGTATCAATAATCGATGAATTAATTAATGGGTGATGGTTTATCAACATCATGCTACAACCCCATTTTTTTGGATTTAATATTATATTTGTAATTTCATCTATTTTATAAGATTGGATTAGGGAATTGAAAACAAAAGAGGCCCAGTTTCTTATTTTCTTTTGTCAAAATGCCTTATTTTCAAAAGAAATTTTCTATTTAAACCCCGCACTTCTCTTTGTTCACCCCAATACTTAAATCATTAAACTGTAAGTTTTATAATTGTGTAAAAAGACAAAAAAGGTCATCCAACATAATACTTAACCCTAGCATTAACACACCCCACACACCCCACCACTCTTCATATTAAGTTTTAGAAAAATACAAACTCCTCACCACTCTTTATATCCTTGAGATCCAATGTATTAAAGCACCGTGTGCTGCTAGACTATTAGGCTCCACAACTGTAGAAGATTCTTTCCAAGGCTTGAAGAGAAAGATCAATCATGACAAAATCTCATGTATACTACAAATACCTTTGCTTCAAACTGATGCCTAGCACAAGAAGAAAATCTTATGTATTTTTGCTTCAAACTTATTCCTTCAAACCGTCCTTAAACTGATGCCTAGCACATACTTTTGCTTCAAACTTTCACCCTAAACAAAATCTCATGTATACTACAAATATTGTTTAATGATTTAAATATTGGGGTGAACAAAGAAAATTATGGGGTTTAAACAGAAAATCTCTTTTATTTCTTATTTTTTCAGCTTGGGGTATATTTAAGGGTAGTTTGGGAAGATAGTGGGGTTTTCTTAGAAATTGTGAAAATTTAAATTAAAAGTTGGGGTGAACTAAGAGAAGTGTGGGGTTTAAATAGAAAATCTCTTTTCAAAAAGTGAAGTTTGGATAAGTAAAGGGACTGTTTTGGTTTCTTTTGCAAATGGGCCTAAAAAAATTTGGAGGCCCTAAATTTTTGGGGGCCCTGTACAATCGCCCAGCCTGCACAAGCTAGGGTCAGGCCTGCTCGCTCTCTCTCTCTCTCTCTCTCTCTCTCTCTTGTTGTGGTGGTTTGATGTTGTGGTTGCTTCAATTTGGGGGTTTGAGTTTTGATTTTGTGGTTGGGGGTTTCAAACTGGGTTGTTGGTGGTTCGATTGTGGTAGTTGAGTGGTGGTTGTGCTAGTTCAATGGTAGTTGTTGCTGGTTGATAGGTTGTGGTGGTAACTGACCGACATCGAAATCGTTGGTAATCGACATTTGGCCTTTACGATTTTGGCCATACCAAAGGCTTTCGATCAATAATTGGTTTCGTCATTTCTAAAAGGATTTTGGTCATCTCTAATAAATTCTAATATCAAATTACAACTAAATAGATATAATTTCTAAAAAGATATTTCAGCCATTTTTACCCCCCACAACTATCACCCTAAGAGCACTTCCACCCATTTGCCATGACAAAGAGAAAATACTATTCACTTTTCTTTTTTTTTCTTTTTTTTTTATACCTAAACAAATAATTTGGAGGAGATTTTCAGATAAGATTTTTGGTTCCCATGTGTCAATATTTATTATAAAATTCATATATCATAATTCGAATGAATTTTTTGGTATAAGATTCAAATTTCAAATTCAGATTTTAGGATCAAATTCTCGGGTGCCACATGTCGATATTTATTATAAAATACAAATCTCATATTTCAAATAAGATTTCCACCTTCTAAAATCGCGCCACGTGTCATCTCTATCTTCTAAATCTCTCTATAAAACCAGAGGCTCAACTCATACCTCTCACACCAGATCTTCTCTATCTTTTCATTTCTCAAATTTTAGATTTCGTACTCCAGTCTTAATGTTAGACATGAGGAGATGCTTAGAGAGGCAAGAGCGAGATATTAATGTCAAGCAGACGAGCTGAAGAAAAAGAGTGCAGCAAGAAGAAGATGAACAAGTTGCCATGGCAGTGGCTTTGCTCAATCAACCAAGCCAAGGCTGCCATCGTGGTTATAGGCATTCTCTTGGTAAGAATCTTTTGGAAGATTACTTTATCCCAAATTTTGTGTACTCTAATGTTGATTTTCGAGGGCAATATAGAATGCAACTCCATTTGTTCAATAAAGTCATGCATGATGTTTGCAATTACGATGCATACTTCGTTCAAAAGTGTGATGCTGTTGGGGTTTTGGGCCTTCTTCCGGAGCAAAAGCTTACAACTGTTATACGAATGCTGGCGTATGGTTCATCTGCTAATTAGGTGGATGAGATTGTTAGGATGGGGAAGTTCACTACTTTAGAGAGCTGGGTTAGATTCTGTGATGCAATCGAAACTCTCTACACCAAGGACTCCCTCCGCAAACCTACTTCTAGGGACCTCCAAAGGCTTCTATAGAAAGCCGAAGCTCGAGGTTTTCCAGGCATGATTGGAAGCATTGACTGTATGCATTGGCAATGGAAGAAAAGCCCAACTACTTGGAAAGGAGATTATGGAAACATGAAAGGGCAAAAAAGTATCATCCTCGAAGTCGTTGCTGGATTCGATATATGGGTTTAGCATGCCTTCTTCGGAGTTGCCGGATCTCAAAACGACTTGAATGTGCTAGGTCAATCCCCGGTATTCAATGATGTCTTGAGAGGTGAAGCCCCAAATATCACCTATGAAATCAACAATACCGTCTACTGGAATGGGTATTATCTAGTAGACGGCATCTACCCGAGGTGGACCACATTTGTCAAATCAGTTCCGCATCCCCGATCCGAGAAGGAAAAATTATTTTCTGCCTATCAAGAGGGTTACAAGAAAGATGTCGAAAGGTGTTTTGGTATCCTCCAAGCTCGGTGGGGAATTATTAGGGGTGTTGTGCGTATGTTTGATGAGGAGGTGCTGAGGAGCATTATGATGACTTGCATCATCCTCCATAACATGATTGTGGAGGATGACTATGATTATGATGCTCCAGACGTGTACGAACCAGATCCCATGAACACAGTATTGACAAGAATTTATGAAAGGCCCATGGGCCCAAACAGACAACCAGTGGAGCATGAACCGTTGGTTAGGGACGGTCGTTTCATGAACCGTATGATTGATCGATATACGGAGATTCAATCATCTTTTATTCATGAACGACGTCAAGTTGACTTGATGGAGCATTTATGGGCGGTGAAAGGCAATGACTGTGAATGAAGTGAAGTGAAGATGCTTTTTTTAACCTTGCTTTGTGTTGATGTTTTATTTTTAATTACGCTTTGGTTGTGGTTTATTTTTAATTATGTTTTGGTTGTGGTTTATTTTAAATTTTGCTTCGGTTGTGGTTTATTTTTAATTATGCTTTGGTTGTGGTTTATTTTTAATTATGCTTTGTTTGATGTATGCAATGTGTTGAATAAAAATGTATTTTATTGAATGATTTCTTTATTCACTCAAAGAAAAGCAATACAACTAATTAAGAATTGCTACTAATTAAATAAAAGACAAGAATTAGAACTACTTTAATACAAAACATTAAAATACAATGAAATAAAAGGCAACCAAACTAAGGGGGGTGTATTCAATTAGGATTATAAAGTGTTTTAAAAGATTTTAAAAATCCGGGTGTATTCAATTTGGATTTATATAAACTTTTAAAAAGTCTATAACAGTTTGGGTGTATTCAATCTAGACTTGTTTGAAATTTTAAAATGTCCATTTAAATGTGGGTGTATTCAATTAGAACTTGGAAAAAGTCCATTTAAATTTACTTGTATTCAAAAGGAGATAGATTTGGAAGGATTTAATTAAGTGTTGGAGTTTGAAGAATTTTTAGGGTTTAGGTATAAATAATAAAGGCCAGCATAAGTCCAACCTCCACCCCAAAGATTTCAGACGACGTGTTCTTTTTTTCTCTCTGCAGAAGACGAACCACCCTCCAAAGGTACACTCTCTCAATATTCTTGTTGGTTTTCCTTCTTCTTCCATGGTTTTTCTTGTTTGTTACTGTTCGTTGATGATTATTGGTTTATGTTTTTCTTGTTTTTATGGAGGTTTTGCTTGTTATTTGAGTGTAGCTTGTTTTTAGGGTTTCTCTTGGGGTTAGGGTTTACTGGTACTTCGGTGATGAAGCTTTCTCGAGTTCACTGTCAAGCAAGGTGAAAATATGATTGTCTCTATTTTTTTCTTTGGATTGGAAGGAAGAAACATGATTTTATTTTTTTTAATTAGCTATACGTTTTTTTTTCTTTCACCATGTGAGTGTTTAATCATCTTTTTTTCTTTGGATTGGAAGGAAGAAACAGGCTAGCCGCTCTTCAGCTCCTGCTTCTTCTCATAAAGCAAGGCCTAGTACCTTTTGGACTGTGTGTCATAAATATGTTTGTGCCTAATAAATCACAGCCATGAATTGACCGAAGGAGCCCCTTTTCTCGGCCCTGACACTTGCTCGTGAAACTAAAACGCGGCGTTTCGCCAAGATGTTTGGCCTTCCTAAAAAGCAAAGGAAAAGTTGCGAAGGCATGATCATCTCGCCCTTGATTATAGGCCGAGGCCGAAGTCGAACAAAATCACAGCCAAAGGTACTAACGTCAGATCATCAAGTGGCAGCAGGGTCCCACGCTTCATTTAATGAAGCAACGCCTCTGTTTATTGCAGCAAACCCACTGGCCACGAATAAGCATTTAATGCACGAGAGAAGGTGGAAAGTGATTGAAGTCAGGATTTGGTGACAGGAATCGGAGTGATTAGACGCAGACATTCTCACAAGAATTCTTGCAGCTTAAGAGATTAGGTCACCAACTATCAGAACTATAAATGCGTCTCCATGGCCAGAAGCGCAGAACCCACTATTAGGGCGGCGGCCGAGATTCACCAGGATTTATGGGGTCACACCACCATGCTTCACGATCCCAAATGTCGATTGGACTACCCACTTGCTCTAATCAGGCTCCACCATGCAGATTTTCAGCCTTGATTACTCCTCCAAGAACTCTTCCTATAAATACAAGGCTCAAGCTACATTCAAAGGGTTCAAACACCAAACAAAAGCCTCCCACGGAGCAAATTATATTTTCCCGTAATGCACTTTCAATATCTTTACTTGCTTTCCTAGGAGTAGCGTTGGATTGTAAGGAAAATCCGTTCATCAATATATCATACGACCCTTGATTTTCAAGGCGCCGGAGCACCATCTCTGTTACTCTCTCATTCACCCCATATATCATACGACCGTCGCTCCCTGAGCAACGTGCCGGAGCAACGCCCAAAAATCCACCATCAACACCACCATTAAACGGCCTTCTAGCTTAGGCCGTGAACCTGACGGCCGAGATCAGTTCCTCTCTCAGCCACAATCGTTTGATTAGGAGTCGAACCCAAACAGGCGCACCACTTAACCATTTTTCATCCGCATCACCATCTCGACGCACGGTAGACCGTGCTGGCACGCCCGCCCACAACCGCACCGCATCCAAAAGCAGGAAGCCACGTGTTAACGCACATCCCCTCGGCCCGGAACCCCAGGCCTTGAGATTTGCGCAGCCGACAAAATACAAAATGCAATATGAGTATCTCATAATTTATCTTAGTCATAATCTTCTTTGCCCCAATTGCCATGAACCATTTCTTACTGTAGAAATAGTTCCACCGCCTATGAATGGTTCCAAGTCAGCCACTGCATGGAATTCCTCACAGTAGCTACAGACTCCAAAGCATGAAACAACTAATAAAAACACATTTAATACAAGGAGGAGTAATGCCACCTCCGCAAGTTTCAACGCACTTGAATCATATAACCAAAACAGCTTTCAGTGGAGTCCATTCTTGAAAGTATCCGGTGCTTCTACGGCTGCCCAAGCTGCAAGCGTGGTTCAGTAGGCCTGTAACAAAAGTGATAATGTCTATGCAAATTGCTCTGAATCTATAACAAAAGTTCATACAAAAATATGGAAGTCTATAATAAAAGTTTATGCAAGTTTATTAAAAATCCGGGTAAAACCTATAGGAAATCTATCACTTAAAAAAAATCTTTCAAAATCTTATACAAACCTAATTGAATATACCCCCTAACTTAATGGTTTTGATCATTTAACCAATCGGTGTTGCTAGGTCCATCGTCACGGAAAAGTCTTCTTCTCGTAACATCCCTTCATTCTAGCTTCCAAAATTATTTTGTTTCAGGGGACATATGGCTTGTATCCATGGCCATGGTTTCCCAATCATTCTTCTCAATGTCTTGTTTGCATACATACTCCTTTTCTCTTGCATATTCTTCATTCATTGTCTTCTCGTCCGCATCTTTTTTCATGTCTAATTCAATTCTCATGTTGCCATTCCTTGCAATTTGCTCCAAAAAGTTTGCAACATCACTGTTGGAAGTAGTCCCTCTCTTTGCCTTCACCGCCTTTCGACCAATAGGCCTTGGCTCCTTTTGGATTGATGAGTCTTGACTCATTAGGGAATCCAAAGGCAAATCGGATGTCGTTGAATCATGGAGTGACGTCTCGTTCAACACAACGGTCGGACCCGTGGGAATAATTCTGAATCGTTTGCAATTTTTCACCACCTCCCAACATTGTTGATGGTTGAAAGATTTTTTGCCTTGTCCAATGGCACTGAACCACATTTGAGCTTGCATAATCTATGAAGAAGAAAAAAATGGAAATGCAAGTAACATTACAAAAATATTGCAAATGCAAGAAACGTTAAAAAGAATATTGAAAATGCAAGAAACAAAAAAACATATTGGAAATGCAAGAAACATTAAAAAAAAATTAGGACATTAAATTTAATAAAACGGAAATTACAAAAAATTTACCTCATTGCTAAGATTTTCGCCGCTTCGATGGTTGTCCCTCGCTTTTGACAACGCATCTCTCCATTTCCCCAACTCTTTATTCAAAATTTTCCACCAAATATCTGAGGCCATTTCTGTACAAGTCGAACCCAATTTTTCACAAAATACCGCATGAATTTTTTTTCACATATGACAGAATTTCATCTCATTGCCCGTGACTGGACAATGACCAACTTGGACCCAAGACTCACACAACAGAACATCTTCCATGGTTGTCCACGTGCCTTCGGCTTCGACGGAAGATGCCATAAGATGGTGAATAAAAATGAAAATTGAAAGTGAAGAAAAATTTATTTAGAAAGTGAAAAATAATATAAGGAGAAGAAAATGTATGAGGATTTGGTGTTGAAAGTGATCAACATTGGTAGGTATTTATAGATAAAAAAAATTAGAATTTTTTGATAATTTGTTTCAGATTTTTTAAGCAGTTGGATTTTAGGGAAAAAACGATGGGACGTCAGCAGCCTTCAGGCTGGAGGTCAAGCTGGTTTAGCCTGCGGGCTGGCCCGGTTACGTGGATCCCATAGCTTGCCTTGGCAAGCGTGGCCCGCTGGAAGCTCTTCCCTGGGCTTGGTCCCTGTCCTACCCGTGCTGGAGGCAATGGATGGAAGGGCTCTAATGGAACTTAACCCTTCGAACTAATGTTTCATCCGGTTAGCATCTAAACATATGTAAATAACAAATTTAACCCCTTATGTCAAATTTTTCGAATTTCATCTACTTTTCCATCTAAAAAAGTTACATGCTTGGCACATTTAGATAAATTAATAAAGATTGAATACTTGGACAATTTTTTAAATAAAAAAAAACTATAGAATAAAAAATCTCTACCCATCCCACATTCCCACCCACCACCTACCACCCATCAAGAGCTCAATCTATGATATCTCTCTCTAATTGGTCTGTGGTCGCCACTAGAGACTACTCTGTCTTCCCTCCAATCAACCAAGAAATTCTCCACCTTCCATCGCAACCAATGAACAATAACCAAACCCATCTTCGCCATCACCATCTTCTCCATCATTATCATCTTCATCTTCGTTGTCGTCTAGTTCCGATGAATCAAACTCGATTTATACGATGCCACCCGATACCCAACCGCAGTCAAATCGGGTTTAGAGGTCAACTCTTAACTCTTAACTTTAACTTTAGAGTTAAATGTTGCAAGGCTTTTTATCACAAATGGTCCTTGACGTTTACGAAATTATCACGAATGGTCCTTGAGGTTTTTTTGTGACACTAATAGTCCTTAATGTTTGGACTTTTTATCACAAATGGTCCCTGCCGTCAAAAATTCTGTTAAGTGTATGATGTGGAAGACAAGTGGAGCCCACATGTACAATCACATCGTAACATGTGG